ATCACGGGTCCGCCCCTTGTGTTATATATATACGCACGGGCAGAACTATGCAAACCAACGCCCATTTAAGCTTTGTAGCCCAACATGAACACAGCCCTTAAAACCTCTGGCAATCACTCCAAAGCCATTCAAGATATAATATTTAGAAATCTGGTGATTGCTCTATAATGATATATTATTAAACTGGAATAAATAGGACATACATAGCTTGCGTTCAGACTGACAGTTTGGCCCGATATAGGCACATTTCACAAACGAATTAAATGGGTCCGGTCACACAGCCACATCTGTCAGGCATTCCTCAGACATACTCACCCCGTCAGAGGACAACTTGGAGCCGGGTTAAAAAGCCACCACCTCCAAAGTGGTGTTTCTGTTTCCCTGTGCATTCATTGCGCATGGCCGGATGTCTGAACATGGGGGAGTGCGCGCAGAACATATTTGGCAGATTGAACCTACAGATCTGTTCTTCCACTAGGGAGGCATCTTTTTTTAAAAAATGCCTATATGCGCATGTGCACACATGATTTTTGGGATTTTTTTGGCAGGGCGGTCCATGGCTGAAGCGCTGCAATAATGTGGATGCTTTACCATGGGATGTCTCCACAGGTAACCCACAGCAGGGTGTGCTGTGTGGTTGATATGCCCCTCAGCACTTTAAACCAGTTCAATTAGAGGCAGCACCATATTGCGCCAAGCCGCCAGTGTGGACATGGCCATAATAAAGACAGTGTATTATGGGGCTGGTTTATAGGCATGCATTCATGTATGGTGCATGCCACATCATGTTGATTGTAATGTCAAGGGATGATTGGTATGAGGGAAGAGCTATCATAAATCTAACACCACAGAGACAATATCCATATCATCTGGTGGCATCTTAAGCACAGTATTTCCAGCAGTTAGCCTATTCACACATTCAACTGCAAGTCATCAAATGTTAAATAATCAAGTAATAACAAATCAAGGCATGTGTCATGACAAGACGGGTGGTGGTGGGAAGCGCTGTCAAGTCACAGCTGACTTATGGTGACCCCGTAGGGTGTCCAAGGCAAGAGACGTTCAGAGGTGGTTTGCCATTGACTTCCTCCACATCACAGCCCCGGAGGTCTCCCATCCTTGTACTAGCCAGGGCCGACCCTGCTTAGCTTCTGAGATCTGATGAGATTGAGGTAGCCTGGGCTATCCAGGTCAGGGCTGGCAAGATTATATTCAGTTAAGTAATATAGATTCCAGAGCAGATAAATATTTGTAGGCCTGTCTATGAATTTCTACCATAGAAACTCAATGGATCATTATGTTTGTGTGATGGTTTAGAAGGTAGGGCAGAATCACTGTGCAAAGCAAACCTATTGCATTCAGAATTTGTCCAATAGGTTCATTAATGAATAGATCTTCGTGGCCTCATGGAGGATATTCAGGCTGTCCCTTTTTTAAGGCCCATTTTGGAATAAAATGGAGGGGAGGCCCATCATATCAGCCAGCCAATGCAGCCTCGCTCCGGCCACCTCCTTCCTTCCCTTTAGCGTTCCCAGAGTTTAATCATTCAAAGAGAGGGTTTTTTACAACCGTACAGAGTGTGAAGCTGGTTCTGACACACAGCCCCACACACTGTCATGGTAGTGAAAGATTGGCTCTTGTTTTGTCTCTTCTGGCCAATGGCAAGATTTGGGGGTCTCAGCCTCAGATTGCTGCCCACATCAAAGGCATGATTATGCAAATACACACTTTAAAAGAGAGGGGGGGAGATAAAGAATTATTTATCACACAATAAACCCCCTGCTAGGGTGGGAAACAATCAATCTGGCCACAGAACGCTTCTCGCCCCAGGCTCAATAGGTTGGGGTTGGGTTTTTTTTTTACTGGGCTAACCTAATTTCACTAATTCTCTTTTCACACATCCTTCCCCCCTACCCAGCGCTGAGTTTTAAGGATGTATTTTCATGCTCCCGGGATCCAGTCCAGGAGATACAGATCCCTGAGTGGCATGATTTATTTAATTAATATGGTGGATATAGGATGGGAGAGGGGCTAATGGTTTCCAGGTGTTGATGCCCAAATGTTACAAGGCAAAAGCACCCTACTGTGTCATTGGCAGAGGAAAGGAGGAGGAGGGCAGGGAGGAGGCAAGATGGTGGTGGTGGTGGTGATAATGTGTGGTCCAGACAAAGATCAGATGATGCCATTCCAGTGATGAACCATCACATGGAATGGATGCCTGACTGCATAAGCATGGCTGCATGGCTGCATCCAGAAGAGGTGCCTATATGACAACCAAAAGCACCCCAGGTTGAGCTCTTTCCCCGTAAGATAGGTTGGTTGTCTGTATCAAGCTGCTACTTTGAGCAAGGAGGATTCATGCATCAAGTCCAATTGTGTTAGGTATTCTTAATTTTAAAGTAAATCAGCAGAGTATTAAAGAGGCAGAGCCCATGGTGAATAAAAGTTTACTACAACCTAGCATGGGGAAAAGGTACACGGGATGTAAAATAACAAAGAGCTAATATTCCTACATCCTTACAGCTAGACTGAACATGGCAGAAGAGTGGCTTCTTCTCCTTGGTCAGAACAAAGAACCACAAGACGGGAAGAGAAGCCATAAAGTGCTAATACTTGGCACTTTGGTCTCCAATCAGAAGAGTAAACTAGATCTGAAATTCTCGGGCTTTCTAACTGTCTAAAACAGATTGGTCACAAACAAACATGTGATTTAACAAACATCATTAACCCAGTAAATACTGAAAAGTGTTTTAACTTGTAACACCCAACAAAATGCCTCCCGGAATGCGGTAAGCACTTCTCAGCTGCAGCACGGTACTCCAGCAAGTGGCTGTTCAGTGACAATCTGTTGTCATCATTGCATAAACGAGAGGTGAAGGAGGGGGCACTTCACTGGCTGGGATATGTTGCTGTAGTGGAAGAGGCAGGTGATCTTGGCCTGATAGGAAATCCCAAGTAGCCAGCTGGTACCCTGATGCCCAGTGACAAATATGACTCAGCCAGAGTGGTGCAGTGGTTGGACTAGGATCTGGAAGGCCCAGGTTCAAATGTCCACTCTGCCATGGCAGCTCGCTGGGTGACCATGGGCCAGTCACACACTCCCAGCCTAACCTACCTCACTGAGTTGTTGTTGTGAGTATAAAATGAAGAAGAGAATGCTGGTGCGAGCAGCTTTGGGTCCCCACTGGGGAGAAAGGCAGGGTATAAACATCTAGATAAACAGCAGACTAAGGTCCATCTTCACCAAGAATTCCTCTTCTACTTGTTGCCAGCATGGATTATAAATCTACCAGCACTAAATAGAAAAGGGGAGTGGGATAAAAATGCTATCAGGATTGTTTTAAAAGATAAACTGAGTGGGGGTGGGGGTGGGGCTGCAAAATGAATGAAAAGAGAAAGTAGCAAAGCACTGGTGTGGATACAGCCTCTCAACCTGCTGAATGAGCGAGAATCAGTTACATAAACATTTTAAATGGTCTCATGTATGTGGATAAAAGAGGGGACAGAATGACCATAGCTGTGGCATCCAGAATAGCCTTTGCACACACAGGGGTAAAAATGTGCAAACAGCTGGAAGGAGAAAGGCCTGACACTCTCATTCATTGCTCTGCTTCCGTGGGAGCCAAAGAAGAGCAACACTGTGGTTAATCTTTAACCCCGTAATCAGCAGTGAAAGTTACATTTCTTACCAGTATTGGGGGGGGGGGACTCAAATCAGATGATAGAAATTAACCACTATCTCACTATTGATTTGTGGTGTTACGTTACAATTGGAAAGCCTATGCTTAGAATTAACGCAGACACACACCCAAATGTGGCTAAGATCAGTTTTATATATAACCCAGCTGGTCTTTATTTTATCAAGACTCCCTTCCTAGTCTTCTAACGCTCACATGTGCCTGGACACAGACAGAGAAAGGGGTCGAGGGCTTGTATGCAAAGACCCAACTGTGTGCTTAAGATAAACAGGAGTTTTGCAGCATTTTAAACACTAGCACGTTTTTATTTCTGCATTTTCTTTCCAGGATTGCAGCTCCCCTCTTCATTAATAGATCCCCACTCTGCAGACCTTTCACGTGGGAGGCATGAGACCATGAGCATCCAGAACAGGCCAGGCTGAGGCTGAGCATGCCAGAGCTTGGAAGCGGTGCAGGGTTGGCCATGGTTAGTAATGGGAGGCCACCGAGGAACACCGGGACTGTTCGGCAGAGGAAGGCAATGGCAAGCCATCTCTGCTGGTCTCCAGCCCTCAAAACTCCACAAATCGGTTGCCACTTGACGGCAATTATTATTATGAGGCCATGGAGTACGGGGGTTATGTAATTCTCTAAATGCTTATTTCATCAAGAAAGCTGCAGAGAACATTCACAAGTTACCAACGGGTACCAGGTTTTGCCAGAGGGAGTTAACAGCTAAAATAGTAATCCCCATTCCCCGTTTGAACGGTAGGCGGAATGTAAGGAGAAACTTCTTCACTGAGGTTTGTTCACCGGCCCATGGCGTCTTTTCGTCTTTCTCTGCTGGAGAATCCGCGCCTCCTGCAAAGAGCTGGAGGACTCGCGTGATGGGACATGGTCCCCCTGACCGCGGCCTCTGTCTGCCGGCTGCCAGGCGGCCCAACAAGCTCGCGTCCCTCCAGTTCCGCTCTGCGCTGCTTTCTATTGGCTCCAGAGAGATCCTGGTAGCCAATCCGAGAGAAGCTGGGCTTCTGGTCCTCTCATTCCAGCCCGGAGGTCTGTTAGACTCCGTTTCCACACGTTCTCTAAAGCGCAGCCCTGTCGCTATTTTATTGTATGCCAGATTAATAATCCTCAAATATTATGGTCTCTGTGTTCTTCTGCCCACTCAGTCTTCAACGAGATTAGTTCCTGGAGAGCAGCCTTGCGAGAAGAGAGAGACTGACACCCGAGTGCTAAGTAAACTCCCCCGAAGTAAAGGCGCTTAGAAGGGATCTAACAAGGGTATTGTGGCGTGAATTTCCCCACTCTTGCAGTCCTAACCTACGCCCTGAAGTAAGTATCGCCGTGTTCAATGGTGGTTACTCCCAGGTAAGTATGTAGAGGATCGCAGCAGCCTTCTTGAAGACTGAAAAGTAAATTAAGGGGGATTTAAAATTATGTTTGCCCAGGAGTTTTCGCCAACTTCGCGATTATATCGGTGGATCCTTACCGGATGAAGAAATCTGGATTTTTAAAAGTGCGATTTTTTTTTGTAGCTGAATAACCCAGTGTCTGATGCCACAGCCCGATATAGATGAATGTGGAAACGCCTGCTTTCACTCCTAAAGTTTCGATCACTTCTTATATCATATGTCCCACAAATGTCATGCAGCCCCAGGGCGAGTCTCATGCTTGGCCACCCCTCTCCTCTTTCGCTCTGGTGCACAGCTGCAGGTGCACCGTCGGTGTGAGCAGGTGCAGAGGAGGAACTGCTCCTGTAGAGGCAGGGACCACGCCCCTTCCCCATCACGGGGAAGCCCTCAGGCCCTGACTCGTGTGAACACTTGCTGGGCAGCTTCACCCGCCACGGCCCCGTGAAGCATCGAGGGCGCGCCTTTCCGGCTCCCTGATCCAGACGGTTTAAAGAGGGATCCAGCCTAGAACATCTTCGCTGCCTCTTCAGCGCAGGACAGAGGAGCACAGAGCAGGTTCCAAACCGTGGGGATGTTTCAAGCATGGATGACCACCGGGCCCCTACAAACACCAGGAGAGCGGCAGGTGCCCGCGCCTCCGTCTGGTCAGGTGGCAAAAGAACAGGGGAAGCGCAGGGTCGTGGACCTATAAAGGACGGACCCGGAGGTAGGTCAGCCTACAGGTCTATTTGGAATCCTGCTCAAGTCTGTTCAGCTGCCAAGGAAGCGGTCTCAGCATTGCGCTCTTGGAGACCACCCATATATATTCAACAGAATTTCTGTAACATTTCTTGATTTCCTTTGCTTACTGGCCAACAATATGTCTAGACCACTTAATTGAGAGGGGGGGATTTTAATATTCGACATTCACGACATCGACCGTGTTCCCTTTTAGTGAACGTCAAGGCATTTAAAATTACATTCACTTTTGGTCCTGACCTGGATAGCCCAGGCAAGCCCGTTCTTGTCAGATCTCGGAAACTAAGCAGGGCCAATCCTGGCAAGTTTTTGGATGGGAAACCTCCAAGGAATTCCAGGGCCGGGAGGTAGAGACAGGCTATCCAGACACTTCTCTGCCAGCCCGATCTCAAGCTAAACAAGGCCGACCCTGGCGAGTACTTGGATGGGAGACCTCCAAGGAATACCAGTACTGGGACGAAGAGGCAGGCAATAGCAAGCCGACTCTCTGAAATGTCCAAGCCCCACTGGGGGTCGCCAGACGTCAGCCATGACTTCCAATCGCGTGCACACGCGCGCCCCCACAAAATTAGGTTCACTTTTAATCTGAGTACTTTACTGCCGTTCACTGTCGTCTCGTGATACCCTCAAATCACTGCTAGAGAGGTCCCTGGTTCAAATCTTACTAGCTGGAAGGATGGGGATGAGAGTTTGAGTGAAAGTCAGTCGTGTTAATTGAGCACGACTGCCGCCCACCCACAATTACAGGTATTGGGGCTGCCCACTGGAACCGACCGACGGTAGGATATGGTAGATCAGGGTGTACCTTTCAACATCCCGAGCCCTTAACGCCCTAAACCCAGCGTGAGAAGCAGCCTGGTGTAAGGTTTGGAATGCGGGAGTCCGGGTCAGGCCCTCTTTCTCCGCCCACTCCACGTGTACTGTTGCGAGGGTAAAGTTTGGAGAGGGGGAGCAAAGCGGATATAAATAGAACTGTGAAAGCACCTAATCTTCTGCCATCCGTTTACACTTCCCCGAAGTTGAAATGAAGCGTCCTGTGTACTTCCAGCCTACAGAGAAGTCTACGTAGGACCTGGTTCACATGTCGTACTAGCTGGAGGGATGAGGACGGAGCACCGCTCCCTTGTGCCAGTGCGATATACTCGTCGACGGTGGTGCCGAGGGTTTTGTCGAAGCCCCCAGTCGGTCCCCGTTTGTCTTCAGTGGACTCGACGGTGTCAGAGATCAGCTGACCTGCCTGCCTCTCCCCCCCCCCCCCCCCCTCCACCCTTTAGCTCTGTTTGTAAAGGGAAGCGCACTTGGAGTAGAGCGCGCCTGTCTATCTAGCCGTCATTTTCCTGTCGGACGCCGCCCGGGACTCCTTTCCAAGGGAACCTCTTGGCGGGATGCCTGCCCCCTCGACCAGAGCGGCGGTCGCCGGAGGAATGAAGCCACCACCGCCAGCAACCAGCTCTTATGAAAATTAGATATTTTATTTATAAATTTCTGTCTGCTTTCAAGAGCAACCCCTCTTGTTCCGCAACTGTAAATACATACTAGAATAAACTCTGTGAAATATACAAAAAAAATACATTATTTCTCCCCACACTCACACGCAACCCACCCCCATGAAATCTTGCCCTTTGTAATAAATAGAAGCCCGGAACACGTGTGTGGCTGCCTGCGGGTCATGCTCCGTGTCTGCCGAGGTTTTCACAGTCTGCCGATAGTCTCTGTCTGGCGGAAGAATGGAGGAGTTCCCGGGACCCGGGAAGGTCGAGATAAATAATGCATGAGCCCCCCCTCTCTCCTCCTCGTCCAGCCCCCCCGCTACCCTCCCCCTTCTTCTCCTCTAGCCCCCCCCCCAATAATAAAGAGTTCACCCTAAATTTCCACGCTGGCATTCAGACCCGACAAAGCCTACAAATTATACAATGACTTCTAACCTGATCGCCTAGCAAGCAAACAAACAAACAGCTCCCCAATCGAGGGCGTTTCCCCCCCCCTTTCCAAACAGCCCCCTTCTAAATCAAAGGAGGCAGATGGCAAAACGAGGGGAGCTTCGGGGCGCGGTGGGCGAAGGGGGCTGAAACAAAAGGCATCGTGCCTGGCCAATGTGGGAATTTGGGGGAAAGTGCACATCAGAAAGAGAGAAAGTTTGGCTTGACAGGTGAAATTCCCACAGCCTCCCAGGCAGGCAGTGGGAAGAGAAGCAGATGCGGCCGGGGAAGGCGCCTGCGAAGCTGCCGAGGTTGCGAAGCGGGTGGGGTGGGGGAGGGGGCCGGGCCATGAGGCGCTAGCATCTCTGCGAG